CTCAGTTTTTGTCATTTCCAAAAATTGGGTTACTTCATGTTCTCAATTTTAAGCATCCACTCACAGATAACCAACACCTCTTTTTCTAGCTCACTCTACTAGCACCCCCACTCCAACAAATATTTGACCCTGTGATGACCAATCTGTCATCCTTACTACATTTATTTATCCCGCTTTATTGTCCTTCTTTCCAAACCTAGTTACTTTGGATCAAAATAAGCACATATTTAAATAACATTCAAGACTGTGTTTTTATGACTTGAAAAGCCCTATCCCTAACTAAACCAGCAGTTTTCTTCATTGAACTTTTCCTAGCAGCTGAATGTGGCTAAAATAAAGCACAAGTGTGCTAAGTATTCTCACAGGGTGGATCCTGGTTTGGTGGGCCCTAGAAGTTACAGTATATGGAGGCAGTAGATAAAAGAAAACAGTGTTATGAATACAAAATGCCCAGTCACTTGAATACCACTTGACATAGGAGACCTTATATTAGAAAGAGAGAATGATCTTCGTCAACTTTGATTAAAACACCCTGTTTCTACAAACTTTATAAAACCATATCACCATGTGAAAACACTGCTAGGGAGACACTCAAAGGACTTTGTAAGGGGCTGGGGCCAATTAGAGGCCCTCATGTTTAAGCTTCATTAACAGCACAATAAATTTACTTCTGAATAGAACTTAAATTCTGTGACCATAAATCTCAAGTGATGTTCAGCACGACCAAGAAATTTCTAAACAATTCCACTTTTCTCATGACCATTTTATATCTTCTCCCTCTCTTCAATCCTAATACCCATATTACCCTCATTTTAAACTAATCATCCTCTTCATAGGAAGTATAGATATAATGAATGAGAATTATCTCAATCTCTTACCAGCTTACTGGTGCACAATACGACTATCTCCTTTTTCCCATGAGTCATTATTCATCGTTAGCAGCACATGAGCTTTGCATAATATTGTTCATTATATAAAGTATGAAAACACAAAATAAACTGTATTTATTTAGTCCTGTAACTCATCTCTTTCTATATTTTTTGTAGCAAAACTTTAAAAAAATAAACACATCTATTTCTGTGAACTCACAGTTAATTCTCTATTGAATCCACTCCACCAGGCTTTTCTCAGGGTCATATTCTGAATTCAATGTCAATTTTTCTCCTTAATTTGAAGGTTTTTTAAAAAATTGTTTTCTTATTTAGTTTTGCTTGGTAGGACATCTGATGACATTTTGAATATAATTTCTTTGTAAATAATTTGTCTTTTCTCTCTGGGAACTTCAGAATTTTCTCTTCTTATTTAAGAGTTGTGAAATTTCACAATTTTGTTTGTAGCTATGTGTGTGTGTAATTTTTTCAGCTTAGCACTAAGTAAGACTTTTCAATTTGATGATCCTTGTTGGGTTTTGGTACTGAAATTTTTCAGGTATAGTTTTGCTACCTATCTATCCTATTTCCTGTGCTGTGATGTACTGATAGGAGTCTGATAGTTGATTTGTGAATTGCTTCTTATAATTCTGCATTTTTATTACATATTTTGAGAATATATAGTCAGAGGCATTGAAGTAAATAAATATTTCATTTCTTGTTGAATTGTTTTCTTTTATTATCTACTTTTACCTTGTTTCTTATTCATGATTTTCTTATTAAATTACATTTTGTGATATTACTGTTGCTACACTAATGTTTATTTTCAGATTTTTGAGTGGTTTAGTCCTCAGTCTTTATTTTTTAGGCAGCAGTGAATCTTATTTTTTAAACATAATCTGATGATATTAGTAGGTGTACTTTAGACATGTGTATTATGATAAGCCTAATTAGTGATGCTAGTTTTAAAACGTGTTTAGCTAATTATAGACATTTTAAATAAATCTGGAATTATTTAGTTTTTCCATTCTCCTCCTGAGCATTACACATATTTTTGCAAAAAATAAATTACTATTGAACATCTTTACACTTGTCCTATTTTTAAAATCGTTATGTGGTGCCTTTGTTTCACTTTTAAATAATAATTTTTCACAATCAATACATATATTTGCTGACATTTCTCATTCATTTTTGTCTTTATATCTTCTTGTTTATTCTTTTTGTTCACTTTCCAGTGGCTAAAATGATTCTTTAATAGTTATTTGAATAAAGGCTTTCTGGTAAATTTTCTTAAGCTACGCCAATTTAGCTCATCAATCTTGAATTATAATTTGGCAATGTATGGAACTATAGCTTCACATTTATTTTTGCTTATATTTGAAGATAATAATTTTCTTTTGGCATTTATTACATCACTTTGTATGTCCTTAATAAGTATCTTTAATATTCTACTGTTTTATCACAATATCTTTAGCTATAGATTTTTTATTTTTATAATGTTTAGTAGTCACAACTAATTTTGTCATCTGGTCTGTGGTCCTATTTTTTTCTCAAGTCTAGAAATTTCTCTCATTTTTAAACTAATCTTCTTCATAGGGAGTATAGAAAATTTCTGTAGTCTTTACACAACATATCTTATTATCGTTCCTTTTGTAAATCAAGGGGAATGTCGCTTAACACATGCTCAAACACACCACACATTCATCCTGCTCCACTTAATGCATGGACTGTTTTTTCCACAAAACAAATACATGTATAAACATGCACACGTAAATACACATACATACACAAAGATTAACACACATATACACATATGTACAAGTAAACACAAAAAGCATATATACACAAACACAAATATACATGTGTACACAAACGTAAGTACACATAGACTCAAAAGTATACACATACTATGTACAGACACAAACATGCCACACCTATATATTGTGTGTGGTTGCACGCACACATACACACCCCCTCCACATTTTTTGTGCTGCTTTTTGAGTGAATACCTTAGTACTTCATTCCTACCTATTAATCCAAAACTCTCTTTGAGTCTTCTCAGTTTGGAGCTTTTTGGTTCTATTTCAAAACTATTTTAATTATTTCTGTCCATATTTCTTTTCATTATTCCTTATAATTTATTGTCTTCCCCATCTATCTATTTTTGTCTAATTTCTGCTGTGTGTCAAAATTTCTTTTCCTTTTACAAAATTAGTGATTCCTTTACTTAGATATTTGAGCATTTTAAATATACTTATTTTAAGTTCTTTGTCAGAATGTTTCATAAAATCAGTATCACCTAAAGTGGTTTGGGTTCACACTCTGATTGCTAGGTCTTTGGAAACAAGATATTTCTTAATATGTTTTGGTGTCTTTTTTGAGGCGTCCCATTCTAAATAAGCAGGTCTCTTTTCTCTATCTTTGTCTCTCTCTCTCTCTCTCTCTCTCTCACACACACACACACACACGTAACACACTCACATACATACATATACACCCCTGTCTTTCTGTCATACACACACATCTTCTTGTTTATCTCTTTCCAATTGAAATTATGTCATTGCTTCTACCTCACCCTCCTTGGTCCCAATTCACCAATCTTTAAATTCTTCCATTTATGGTCATCTTTTCTGATTCCCAGTGATCATACAAAGATGATATTGGGGATAACATTATTGCAGTTACTGATTCAATAGGCAACTTGGTTGAGTTATTGGTCTCAGGATCCATTCTCCTCAATGCCTTTGCTCCTTGCTCACTATGTATCTTTAGCCCCAGTCAGTGAATGATCCACATCAAGCACAGCTCATGCAAAGCCCTGCCATGAGTCAGTGAACCTCGCACTTGTCACTCAACTGGTGCAACACCTGCAGCTTGTTTTATGCTGCTTCTCCTCTATTCATGCTTTGATTTTCGACCCCATTTCTATTCTACAGAGATGGTTACCTTCTTTGTGAGCCTAGCTATGTCTCCTGCTTGCCTGAATGTATGTTTATTCTTATTTCTACATCATTCTTTCATCCTATTTTGGAATAGGTGAAAATGAAGGATCAGTGCAGCTCATCATCAGCTGATTTGGCCACACTAATTCAATCTTCTCTGTGTTCTGTGAAGTGAAAGCTAATCATGTGTATTCACCCCAACCTCTTGAATAGTGCTACTTGAATGAAGTGTGGTCTGCAACCAAGTGTCATCAACCTGGGAGCTATTCTCAGACCCATCCAACATCTACTGAACCACATTCTGAGAGTGAAGCCTAGGAATCTGTGACTTTCAAGGCTCTCCCTGTGATTTTTACATATATACAAGCTTTAGATACTGCTCCAGATAATATCTGTAGTTTGCTTTCTGGTTGCATGTTAGAATCATGTGGGGTGCTTAAAAATAGTGACGCTGGAGCTTTACCCCAGATTGATTGTATATTATTATAAGCCTAGTAATCCATCCAGAATTTTTGGAAGCACAAAGTTTTATTAAATGCTTTGCAGGTTATTATAATGTGGAGTTAGTGTTGAGAACCATGGCTTTATTCAAGTAGTTCTCAACAGGGATGATTTTGTACCTTCAGGGGATTTTTGGCAGTGACTGGAGACATTTTTGGCTGCTGCAACTGAGACAGTGCTGCTGGCATCTAGTGGGAGATGCTGCAGAATATCTTACAACACACAGGACATCCCCTCTACGAAAAGAATTGTGCCACCACAAATGTCAATAATATTGAAGTTGAGAAAGTTTGCTGTCTTATAAGCTTTGGTTTTTGTTTAGGCTTTTCCATTGAACATATTCTCCAGTAAAAACACCTTTATGGAATTCACAAATTGAAATGGAAAGGAGTATAAAAGGGATTTCGAATATTCAAAAAACCAAGCACCTGGATTCCCCAAGCCGTTCTTATTGATGCTCTTATGCTTTGAAATTGGAAAAGCCTGACAATTAGGGGTAACCATCAGAAGCAGCAGAATAAATGGAGTCCTAGGACACATGTTCCGTCTTCAAGTTTCAGCTAATTATCACGCAATTTTGTATTTTTGACAACATAAAATATGATCTTATTCCTTTTTATTGTTATTAAATATGTTTGTCTCACTATATACTCAATAATCATATTAATATTTTGCTTTACTTTTACAGTATAAGGAAAAAATCACAATATGAATCTGAAATAAAATCTTTGACCATGATGAAGTTAAAGAATGAGAAACATCTCAAGAGCCTCTATAGGGAGGCTTATCGCATTGGTACTGTTTTCCACCTAACCAAACACAAGACAGATGAAATGGAAGATAAAATAGCAGAAGTGAGAAGAAAGTTCAAGGTTGTGTATCTTTGTGTTCCTCTTACTCATGATGAAAAAAGAGTAATTTACCTGAATTGTATTGATTTAATCTTGATAATTAGATTTTAATTTAAGGGTTAATAGTCTTTTCAAAAACTCACTTCTTATAAATGAGAAGAAAACCACCTCTCTCCAAAGGCTCAGCTTGAATAGAAGAGGATGAGGGCTCAATGTAGTTAATCCACAATTGTTTCCACTTTCTGCTATTATCAACCATAAACTACTTGGAGCACCAGGAGTGTGGTGCTCAGTTCAGCTTTATTGTATATATCTAACACGTAATAATGTCTGCCTATAGTAGGAAGAAGGTATTCTGAGAGGTGTTTGTCTACCTTATGTAATGTGAGAATAGAAAGTACCTCTAGTAGGCCTATGAGTTGTTGAATTCTAGAGTACCTGGAAATCTGTAGACTACATTTCTGCAGGAATAATTGCTCACATGCTTCAAACCCACTCCTAAGTGAGAGATGTATTGGATAGCAGCTCTCTGCCATTTGTGGTAGAGGCTTTGTATTAGTCCGTTCTCACGCCACTGTGAAGAAATACCTGAGACTTAGTAATTTATAAGGAAAAGAGGTTTAATTGACTCAGTTTTGCATGGCTGGGGAAACTTACAATTATGACAGAAGGCACCTCTTCACAGGGTGGCAGGAATGAGAATGAGAGCCAAGCAAATGGGGAATCCCCTTATAAAACCATCAGATCATGTGAGAACTTACTCACTCTCATGAGAATAGCACGGGGGAACTACCCCATGATTCAATTATCTACACCTGGTCCCACCCTTGACATGTGGGGATTATTACAATTCAAGGTGTGATTTGGGTATGGATACAAAGCCAAACCATATCAGACTTGCAAAGTCCACCCCACTTTACTGCACCTGCAGGGTCACTTCAACAGGCTGATTTCATCCGTCTTAGACACATACATGTCTCCTGTCTTTGCCATTTTCTTATTAAAGACTTATAAGCAAAAAAAAAAAAAAAACCTGGAAAATATACAGTCTGTACACCATTTCCAACATCTGTTGCTAGCATTATGATCAATGAATACTTTCCTTTGTGATATCTAAATTTAAGATGTGTAAATGTTTCTGTACTGAAAGATTAGGGTGTTTTTCCCACATTGAATCCAGCTGTTCAGTTGACCTACGTCTTTCCTAATGGGTGTTGAATGGGTTAATCTTATCTTCTTATAAGTTAACATGCATAGAAAAACATGCATAGAAAAACATAGCAAAGTAAACATGCATAGAAAAAATTAAAATGCAAGGCATACGATTCTATGGTTTAGCATATACAATAGTATTGTAGATGTTTATAATTTTTAAATAATATCAATATATTTCTATATAGTGGTCAGTTAATTTTTTTCTTTGAGGATATCAATAAAGATACTACCATCCACTTACTTGGCCATTTAACCATTTATTTTAATTTTTCTAATTGACTCAAAACCTTTGTCATCTTTCACATATTTTCCCCATGGATGTCACAAACTACATTTAATTCTTCAAACATATTGCTTCATTTATCTGAGGTACTCACTTATGAAAGAGATGTTGCACTGGATTATTTATTTTTCTAATTTTTTTGATACCATAAAATGGAACTTATAGATTCAATGCAAGTTTGATGTGACTCTACTGTAATTGCTTTGCCAACCCAAAATACAGTGCCCCCTTTTCTGTTATTTTTAATTTTATTTTTTAAATTGACATATAATAATTGTAGATATTTATTGGGTACATAGTGATATTGCCATACATGTAGAATATAGTGATCAGATTAGGGTATTTAACATATCCATCATCTCAAACATTGATCATTTCTTTGAGTTGGAAATATTCAATATCATCTTTCTAGCTATTTGAAAATGTATATTATTCTTAACCATAGTGATCCTACAGTGGTATGGAACACAAGAACTTATTCCTTCTATCTAGCCATCATTTAGTATCCTTTAAAAAATCTCTGTCTCCTACTTCTTCCAACCCACCACACTTTTCAGTATTTTCCATTCTACTTTTTACTTTTGTGAGGTCAATTGTGGTTAGTTTTCACATACGAATGAGATTATGTAGTATTTAACTTTCTATTCCTGAGTTACTTCACTTAACATAATGTCCTCCAGTTCCATCCGTGTTTCTGAAAATGACAGGATTTCATTATTTCTTATGGCTGAATAATATTCCATTGTGTATATATACCACTTTTTGTTATCCATTTATCTGTTGTTGAACACCTAATTTGATTCCATATCTTGGCTATTGTGAATAGTGCCACAATAAAACAGGGGGATACAGATGTCTCTTCAATATATGAATTTCCGTTGGATAAACAATAGTGGGATTGCAGGATGATACAGTACTCCTATTTGTAGTTTTTGAGGAACCTCTGTCCTGCTGTCCATAGTGTCTGTACTGATTTTAATTCCTACCAACAGTATATGAATTCTCTTTTTTCCATATCTCACCAGCGTTTGTTATTTTTTCATATTTTTATACTACCCATCCTAGCTGGAGTTTGATGATACAGTTGTGGTTTTGATTTGCATTTCTCTGGTAATTAGTAATGTTGAACTTTTGTTCTTGCATTTGTTAGTAATTTGTATTTTTTTTTTTTTTTTTAAAAAAATCTGTTTAAATTATTTTCCCCTTTTTAAAACAATTTTTTTTTTTTTTTTTTTTTTTTGCTGTTGACATGTTTGAGTTCCTTGTGTATCTGGATATTAATCCCCTGTTGAATGAATAGATTATAAATCTTTTCTCTGGTTCTTTAGGTGGTATTTTCACTCTGTTGACTATTCCCTTTGCTGTGCAGAAAGGTTTTAGTTAAATATAATGTAATTTGTTTATTTTTGTTTTTGTTGCCTGTGCTTTTGAGGTCTTAGGAATAATATCTTTTCTTGGGCCAATGTTCTGAAGCATTTATCCTATGTTTTCTCCTAGTAGTTTTGTAGTTTGGGGTCTTAGAGCTAGGTCTTCAACCAATTTGGAACTGATTTTTGTATAGAGGGTCTAGTTTCATTCTTCTGCAGGTGAATATCCAGTTTTCCTAGCACCATTTATTGAAGAAACTGTCCTTTCCCAATGTAGGTTCTTGGTGCCTTTGTCAAAAATCAGTTGGCTGTCGTTATGTGAATTAATTTCTTGATTTTCTGTTCTGTTTAACTGGTCTATGTGACTGTTTTTTTGCCAGTACCTTGCTATCTTTGAACACAGCTTTGTAGTGAATTTTGAAGTCTGGTAGTATAATGCCTACAGCTTTGATCTTTTTGCTTAGGAATGCTTTGGTAATTTGAAGTCTTTTAGGGTTCCATATACATTTTAAGATTATTTTTTCTCTTTCTATTAAGTAATAGAATTTTTATAGGAATTGCATTGAATCTGTAGATTGATTTGAGTAGTATGGTTAACATAATATTTTAACAATATTTTAACAATATTAATTGTTTATCAATTTTTAACAATATTACTTTTAACAATATTAATTTTTCCAATCCATGAGCATTGGATGTTTTTCCATTATGTTTGTATCTACTTCATTTTCTTTTCTCAATGTTTCATAGATTTCCTTGTAAAGGTATTTCACCTCATTAGTTAAATTTATTCTTAGGTATTTTATTTTTATTTTTTTGTAGCTATTGTAATTAGGATTGCCTTCTCATTTTTTTTCAGCTAGTTCATTGTTCATGTATAAAGATGCTACTGAATTTTCATGTTGACTTTGTATCTCACAACTTTAAGGAATTTATCAGTTCTACAATTTTTTTGATAGAGTCTCTCTCTCTACACACACACACAGACAATCATATAATCTGCAAAGAGGGTCAATTTGATTTTCTTCTTTTCAATTTGGATGCCTTTGTTTATTTTTCTTGCCCAATTGCTCTGACTAGGACTTCTAGTGGTATGTTGAATGAGACTGGTAAGAGGGGGCATGCTTGTCTTGTTCTAGTTCCTAGAGGAAAGACTTTTAGCTTTTCCCCACTCAATATGATGTTAGTTGTGGGTTTGTCATATATGGACCTTATTGTGTTGAGATATTTTCCTTCTGTACCTAATTTGTTATGAGGTTTTACCATGAAGAGACAGTGAATTTTATCAAATGCTTTTTCTGCATCTATTAAGATAACCATGTCCTTCCTTCTGCTGTTGTATGTATCACGTTTATTGATTTACATGTGTTGAACCATACTTTCATTCCTGGATAAATTTCACTTGATTATGGTGTAATACCTTTTTGGTGTGTTGTTGGATTTCAGTTTGTAGTATTCTGTTTAAGTTTTTGCCTCTATTTTCATACATATTGGCCTGTAGTTTTAATTTTTTATTTTCCTCATCTGTATTTGATAGTGAGGTTATACTGGCCTCATAGAATGACCTAGGCAGAATTTTCTCTGCCTTAATTTTGTGTAATAGTTTCAGAAGAAATTGTATCAATTCTGCTTTAACGGTTAGTGGAATTCAGCAGTGAAGACATCTAGTCCTGAACTTTTCTCTGTTGGAATACTTTTTAGAACTGATTCAATCTTGTTACTTATTATTGTCCTGCTTATGTTTTCTATTTCTTCTTGGTTCAATATTGGTAGATTGTATGTATCCGTTTCCTCTAGGTTTTCAAATTAGCATATAACTGTTCATTGACGTTTGTAATGATCCTTTTTATTTCTGTTGTATCTATTTTGATGTTTCCATTGTGTTTCTGATTGTATTCATTTATGTCTTCTCTCTTTTTTTCTTAGTCTAGCTGTTTCTCAATTTTATTTTCTCAAAACATCAACTTTTTATTCCATTGATTTTTTTGTACTGTATTTTTAGTCTCAATTTCACTTATTTCTGCTTTCATCTTCATTATTTATTTCCTTCTAATTTTGGGTTTGTTTTGCTCTTGCTGTTTTAGTTTCTTGAGATCATTATGTTTTTATTTCAAATCTTTCTATGTAGTGTATGCATTTAGTGTTATAAACTTGAC